GAATAGTGCCTACTGCCACACAAAACCTAACTACGAATTGTCGTCGGACCATTCTGCAATGGAGTTATTCATTAGCGCAGTAGGCTGCTATTTAAACAAAATCTACCTCGGTTATATAACTCACAAACCGACTGGGCATCGTTTAGACGACATCTGGAACACAAAATTAGCCTCAATATGAAGCTTAAAGACCAAGAAGATATTGAATCTGCAATCGAAGTATTAAACAGACATATACTAGAATCAGCAACTAAGGCTACTCCAGACCTGAACACCAATAATCAGTATTTGTATCCAAGCGGAATCATGAAACTAATTCGAGAAAAAAGAAAAAAATAGGAAAGAATGGCAAACCAACAGAATACCCTAAGATAAAGCAAAGCTTAACGCAATCTCAAGGCAATTAAAGCGCACACTCAAAGAATTCAAAAATAAAGAATTTCAAGATTTTCTCACCAACCTTTCACCGGGACCAAATTACACCTACTCCCTATGGAAAGTTACCAAAAAATTAAACAGACTGCAAATTCAAATACCTCCGATTAAAACTACACAAGGATGGGCGAGAAGTGATGGAGAGAAAGCCGAGTTACTTGCCTGCCACCTCGCAAAAATCTATGAATCTGAACAAAATGACACAAATGATGAGTGGGAGGACATTTTAACACATTCTTGCGTTCCCTACTACCAATGGATAAACCGTTAAAACCGTCAAGCTCAGGGGAAGTAAAAAACATAATCATGTCCCTAAAAACCAAGAAAGCACCAGGCGATGACTTAATCACAGCAGAAATTCTGAAAAATTTAAATTGGAAGGCAATAATCTGCATCAATCAAATATTCAATTCGATTTTTAGAACAACCTGCATACCAAACCAATGGAAAGCACCCAACATATTAATGTTACTAAAACCAAGAAAAGACAGCACTAAACCTGAATCGTACAGACCAATAAGCCTACTACCACTGCTCTCAAAAGTTTTTGAAAAAGTCCTCCTAGCACGATTACAAGAACGTGAAAATTTCCTCAAACTAATTCCGGACCACCAATTTGGATTCAGATGCGGTCACACGACAATTGAGCATATCCATAGAGTCACTAACAAAATAAGAGCATCTTCGAGGAAAAAGCATACTGTCCAACTGTATGTCTGGACATCAGACAAGCTTTTGAGGAGGTCTGGCACAAAGGCCTCTTGTACAAAACAAAAAAATGGTTTCCGCAGTTTTATCTATTAGTCCAATCTTATCTCGGTAACAAAATTGCTCAAGTAAAAGTAAATGAGAATTACTCAAACCTCTTTAGCAGCTTTCTCGGCAGTTCCTCAGGGATCTGTACTGGGACCTTTCCTATACACAATTTTTACATCGGATCTACCACAAAATGATAACATTCTGACAGCTACATTTGCGGACCACACAGTACTATTGAGTTCAGATAGCGATTTAAACAGCGCAGCTGAGACACTCCAAGGACATGTTAACGAAGTTGAGAAATGGATGGCCAAATGGAAAATTAATATCAACGAGGAAAAGTGCACGCAGGTGCTATACGTTTTAAGAAGAGGATCATGTCCTCCTATAAAAATCAACAACACCCCTCTCCCCCCTCATCTCAACTGCCAATCATACAAGATATTTGGGGATGCACTTGGATAGAAGACTCACCGGGAAGATACATATCCAGAAGAAAGGAAAAAAATTGGAAATAAAAACAAGGAAGATGCATTGGTTGATAGGTAGAAGGTCCAAGCTTAGTGTTGAAAACAAGATCTTATTATACAAAACGGTACTAAACCCAATATGGAGCTATGATATAGAACTATGGGGAACAGCTAGCACCAGTAATATCGAAATACTGCAGATATATCAGTCCAAAACGTTAAGACAAATAGTCAACGCGCCATGGTATGTAAATAATAACACCATCCACAACGATCTGAAAGTCTCTACCATTCCCGGTGAAATAATCCAAAAATCAACAAGATACCACACCAGAATTGGAAGACATCCAAACCCACTTGCTACTCACCTATTAGATAACATGCCAATACGATGACCCAATAAAGCCTTACCGATCGACCGGAAAGATTCATTTAAATACAATCTATTAAAATCTACGAGCGCAACACAGAACGGCTGCTGGGTCGACTAGTGAATGTGACTATCGTAAAAAAATCTTCTTAATGCTCTAATGTAACATTAGCAGATTGTTGATTGCAGCAAATAAACTAAAAAAAAAACTGTTCTAGATTCAAGCCTAGTTTATCCATTCAACTTCTTGATTATTGGAAACAACGCTGCATTTCGTGGACTTTCCGAGTATAATAAGAGAATTTGAAATGTAGATATTATGCATTTTGAGTTGAAATCAGTACATTTGACCATCTGGTGGCAACAATGCATGTTTATAAAATTAAGATGAAAAGCTGAAAAAACTCCAAAGACAAGGGCTGATTTGTTTGCAAAACATAGGTTTTCATAGCTTCGATTGAAAAATACGCAAGATAAAAGCTAGACGATTCGCAAGCCAATTTCATTTAACTCAACTCCATATAATTGAGTCAAAAAAGCTCTGTTCTGGAGTGTGAGTTTAGTTCTCCAGAAACAGCACTAAAAAAAAGTTACCTTCTTGCCTCAATCCTTTTCAGAATGAGTTTCCTGCTGACCTCACTATAAAGTTAATTAAATTGTAACTAAATTGCAAATTGTGCCTGCTATGAACTTGTTGAGTTACGCCACTGGCTGAGACACAGACAAGTATTCTTTTCTGTTTGGTACCCTGCTGGTTGCTTCCAAAGTCGTAGCAAACAACTTGGAATAATCTCTTAGCTTAACGACTTATCAAGAGACTCAGCTTAAGGAGCCAATTGAGGGTAGAGTTGTAGGTACGACACTGGTAGAAACTCATGAACTAGATTCTATTTATTTTTGACCAAACAGTGATTATTTTCTTTGCAGTCTCGCACTCGAGGGTTTGGCCCAACCTCCATATCAATCACAGACGTATTCTTAACTTGAGTGGTTATGAATGAATGAGCGATTTTCAAGAACAATACTGGTTGGAGCAAATGAAAATTCAAATTTTTGCTTGCTTTCCGGTGTCGGATCCAAAAGGTTTGTTTTGCTTATGAAGTTGGGCCTCGCATTTCAACGAAGGCACTGGAAAACATATAAAATGGGTCAGTTTTTGCTTCCGTTTCAGTGTTGTACCCAAATGGCTCGGCACAACATTCACTTAAAAAATAGGACTTTGCTGATGACGGCAAAAATAAAGAACACCGCGCTGATTATGAAGTTGTGCCGCGTCTTTTAGGCGCGACACTGGTAGAAACTCAGTACAATTTTATTTTCAGTTTGACCGACAATTTTGCGGCGTTCTTTTGAGTGTCGCATAGCATAGGTTTTGCACAACCTAAACGTCCGTAAAAATCAAGAAAGTTCAGTTAAAAAAATTTATAAAACTGTGCCGATGAAAAATTTGGGCCGCTCCATTCAGTTGGTAAACTGTTAGAAACTCAAGAAGCTCTCTTTTGTGATTGACGTAAAGTTTCCTACTATTTGTTCAGTATCGCACACGAAACACTTTCAAGCACAACCTAAACACAATTAAAACCAAGAAAGTTTGTATAGAAAAGGTAACAACATGTTGAGTCGCGCTTCTGAGTTGATGAGTTATAAAGTTATAATCTGGAAAAAAGGTTATTAAATTTTGTAATGAGTATTGTTTTATCATTTCCCTCTTCCTTGTCCCAATTACTAAAAAAATTATCAACTGATTTTTTAACTCATAATTTGAGCAGAAGCGTTTTCCCAGCAGTGAAACTGAGTTCCTGCGCCGGTGCGGTGAGTTAGCACAGAACTGCGCCAACTCCTAGAAATTCACTGAGTTCCCCAGTCCCCAGATCTACACAGAACTGTGCTAATGATAAAGTTGTGTAGCGAATTTTAGTTTCGAAATTGGTAGAAACTCAAGGAATTTCTATTTGCTGTTTTATGGAAAATTTGCTGCTTTCTTTCCAATGCCGTACACAAAAGGCTTGGAACAACTTCAACATCTATCTAGGCCAAGGAACTTCATTTAGAAGAAAACTGGAAATGTGCTGATGATGAAGTTGTAGAACTTGAAAATTCAGTGAATTTTTGGGAGGTGGCGCAGTGCTGTGCTTGTGCAAATGGCTCGCTGCGCCAACCCAACGCTCCGGCGCAGTAACTCAGTTCCGTGGCAGGCAAACGTTTTTTAGCTCCACTTTGATAATTGAGTTGCAACTCATTATCAGAGCGGCAACAGCTCAAACGCGTAACTCAATACAGTGTTACCCAGGCCTACTGCCAGTAATCAAACTTGATCCTGTGGCGTTCAAGATGTTTTTTTCATTTTTGGAGTTTTGAGCGACCAGAAGCACAAGCGAGTTTTTTACGAGTAAAAGTTGAGCGAAGATCTTCGAGGACGACAGATATGTTTTTTGGCATAAAAATAAACTTTTCAACACACTATTAACTTTAGCCGACTTTTGAAGCATTTTTTACAAGGCCGTTTTTTACCATTTTCTTGAAGTTTGTTGTCGTTTGTCGTTTTTTCCTTCAGGTACTTCCACTTACCACTTACCAAAGCGTTTGTAAGTTACAACGTGATGGTTTCCGACACTTTCAGTTTCTTAAACATTCTGATTAAAATAATAAAAATTCAGAAAAATGTGTGTCGTACCTTGCTCGGTCATGAACAATTTTTAGGGGTTAAAGATTAGCATTTCGAAATGTTTGAAAATGTGGATCAGACTGAAATGATCCAATTAATCCTTACGTTGAGGATTATTTCACTTATTTTATTTCCATATATGTTCGTCTGTTTTTGTAAGTACACTTTTCCTGTCGTTTACATTTTTGTTTTTGTTCCTACGAGGTCCATTTTAATCAGTGTTGCCTCGCTGACTAAAGAATAAGATTTGAATTATATTTTTTTTAACTGCTACAATTCTTTAAAGGGCTGTTAGTAGGATTGGTTTAGGAGACTTCCATTACTTCGGAATATGTTTTAAGAAATTTAGTTTTTCATCTCTTCGTCACATTTTTATCGTTTTTCTCACAATTTGAAGGCTAAATTAAATTTCAAAATGGCAAAATTCTGAGAAATGCATGTCTTTCATTGAGCAAGATGCTCAATGATCAATGCTGTGGATGTTGAAATCATTTGTTGCAATATATTTTTATATGCGAGATTTTGTGGACTTTTGCTTTGCCTTTGCTATTCATTTTCTTGCGCATTTTAAAACTTGATTTTGTTGGTTATTGAAAGTTGGAATTTTGGAAAATTGTTTGAATGGATATGCGACTTTTGGATCGACGCATTTTTAATTTTAGGTCACTTTTTATGGCATTGCACGGGTTGTTTCTTCGATAATTGATCACCTTGAGCCTACGCAGGCTCTTTCAGTTTCAATTTAAACCAGGTGCTCCTATTATTTATTTTGATGCAGACTTAAACATTTTCAACTTTCGAAACAAATTGTCACAAAAAAAATATCTTTCTACTCTTGAAATTATTTGAATCATCATTTAAAGTTTGAGTGATACTTCCAGCATTTTTTCAAAGGTTTTTTGCCTAAATCACATTTTGCTAAAGTATTCATTTTTAGTTCATCGTTAGTTAGTTTTATTTCCACATTAATTTTTAGTTTTATTTAAGTTTAAGTGTCAAATAGTGCTATTAACAATAGATCAAAGCGTTTTTCACACACCGCTTAAAAGCGCACAAACATATTCAGACGTCTTAACATTTTGCCTTAAAGAAAATAATTTTTTTTTAAGAGAAATGTGTGTCGTACCTTGTTCAGTTATGAATTATTTTTGAGTAGTACCTATATTTTTGGAAATGTCAACAAATTGTTGGCAACAATTAATATTATATTCTTTTCCATCCTGGGTTTCAGTCAAAGTGTGAAATAAAAATTTGTATATCGTTTATTTCATAACGTTTCGGCGAGACAACAGCGCCATCATCAGATTTAAAGTTCATACAAACTTATAATTGGGAAACATCAGACTCTTTTAGGTCTTTGCTGTCTTGAAACCTCCAATTTGTTTGAATTATTGTCTGTATCACACAAACTCAAGAAACTTTGCGTACAGATCTAACTGAAACTTGTGCGGATTGTAAAATTAACCTGCCATTTTCACGCTCAATTCTGCAAAAAAACTCAAGAAAGTGCTATTTCCTACTTCACCGGCTATATGTTGCTTCTGATTAAAATTGCTTAAGTCTTAAAAATGAAACTTCAACATATAACAAACTCAGGACACTTGAGGATTCCTTACCAGTGGCGTGCTTGAAGGGTCAAACACAACTTCGGCATTAAGCTTGATTTGGATGCTGTGCTGAGGGCTTCGGGCGTGACACTGGCTTGACATAAGAAAAACTTTGTGCAGTGACTCCCAATCCAGTGGCGCGCTAAAGGGTTTTAGCACAGTTTTGAGTTGCAAAATAAACCAGAAACAACTCTACTTTAAACGACAAGAAAAACTCCACTCCAACTGCTGCCAAATGATGTGAAATCCAAACCTACACCAGGAAAATTAAATACATTTTACAGCTAATTGTACACATTTTTGCGATTATTGGTCTAGCTAATGGACCATTTAATCAAATTGCATGTTCCTGCGGAGTCTTTTAGCAAAATGAGAAAATGCTTTGATTGAAAAGCCCTGATTCTAGTACAGCAATCAGCATTTATGTAATATATCGATTTTTCGTGGAAACTGCCAGCCGTTTGCCCTGATAACTCGCAACAGCAGTCGTAAAACCGCATATTTTCATAAGGGGTTTGCGTTATTCATGCATCGTAAAGGTCTGGGGCCTTTTTTCCGTGGAAACTTATTGTTGAAGTGGCCCATAATGGCTAGACAAAAGTTTGTGTCTTTGTCGCGAAAGACGAAATGGGCGCTCGTAAAAGTTCCACAAGATTTTGGCTAGTAATGGCGACAGGATTTAATCTGAACCGAGATCGAGTGGCAGAGAATAAACACATTAAAATTGAAGTTGGCTCAACCAGATAGCTTCGAATTTCGGCTAAGAATCATCTTAATTTGCAATCCTCTCAGCGTGTTCGGCATTCCGCGACTAAATCGTGCAGCTTCTGCGAATATCCAGCCTGGAATTGCGAGAATTTTAATAACATTTAATTGTTTTCAGCCCCGGACAAATATTGGCTCTTCATTATATCACCTGGAATTCCTGCCTTATCGCCCTTCAGGATAAAATCCGGGCTTAACTTAATTACGTCAAGTCGCAATATCTCTTAAGCAGCTCGACTGTGCTATTTCGTCGGCCGGAAGCTTTGTATCGTATTTAATGTCCGGATGGATTTGTCCGGTTCCGCTTTACATTCCGGGTTTGATAGGTGTGATTTAAAATCTCCTCAAATCAGCTTTTTCCACAAACTTCAATTTTTTCGAACTGGATTTATAGGAGTTAATAGTTAAAATGGTTTCTAGCTAGTCAAACTACAAGCCTCCAGGCAAACTGGATTGAAAAAATGGCCCAAAAATTGATGGCCAAATTGTTGAACGCTTTACGCAAATCGGGCTAGAGAAACTTTATTCGAGAAATTGTCATCCTTTGGCTCAGTGGAGGCTATTGAAACGAGATTTTTGAAACCAATCGCACCTTATGCATTTGTAAATTCACTGAAGATAAAAATTGAAAATTTAATAATTTCGAGCAAGTAAAACCATAGGAATTTGGTCTAGAAATATACCCACTTTCAACGTTTCCTCAAATTAGGAAAGTCTTATTTTAAACAAACTTAAGTTCACATGCAAGCTGGTTTTCAAGAATCTCTTACGGGCAAACTGGAGCTGATAAAAAATAGGGTTTTCGTCCGTTTATAGAAGACACTCCAGGGCAACATGAAAATTTCATGCAAAACGTGCTGCAGTAGGACTTTCCAGAACAGCACTGAAAAGGCAGGTAAATAGCCTTTTTTCGTGTCTGTTGATTCAAAACGTTTGACTTTTACCTTGACTTTTACGGTGCTTCAAAAACACTAAACAATCCCAACAAAACGGACCATAGAAAGATTTTCCAGAAATTTTAAATTTTATTTGAAACGAACGAAAATTCCCTAACAGGCTTTCAATAATTTTTTACACCCAAACTGAAGCCGGTTAAAACTTGCTTCTTTCTCCACATGCAGAAAACACTTCAGCGTTGAAACGCTCAAAACTTACTGAAACTCCGACTGCGGGAACATTTTTTATAAAGCCAACTAAAGATCTTAAACTTAGTCAGCTTGGACATGTTCTGACGTTAAACCTAAAACAGCTGGAAACTTGCCCCTTGCAGATTTATATAAGATTACTGTTGAAACGTTAAAACAGTCAAGTAAACCCGATCAATGGAAGAATTTTCAGCAATTAAGAAACCTTAATTTTGAAATGAACTAATTTTTACAGGTTGCATTAATTCAGTGCAGGTAGTAACTTTTCCCGTTTGACCAACAGCTTCAAAGGCCTTATAATTGTACTGTTGAAAAATTTACAGTAAAACCTAACACAAGAAGATATTGAAACTCTCCCAAAAGTCCAAAGTAGAGCAGGTAGATACAGGCCTTGGCACCCGTTTATATAAGAAAATGTTGAAAATCTCCAGTAAATTTTGTCACACGAAAACTTTCGGCAAACTATCGAACTTTCCAACAATGAATCGACTCAAAGCTTCAAACAACTTCCAGAATAAACTTGCCGATTTTAGGTTTCCAAAAGTGGTTCAACGATTAAAATGTTGACTGCCTAAAGAATATGTTTGGCACATGAAAATTGTTCTAAAATAAGCAAAAGTTCTCCAATTTGATGTCAATCAGTGCGTACAAACAGGTTGGATTTAAAAAATTACTTGCGTCCAAAAACAATTGGTAGATACATTTTTCGTAATTATTTATAGAAGAGACGCGGCCGCTAATATGTTGATCGTTTAAAGCGAATGAGCTACAGGAATAATTTACAAAAGTTAACCCAACTGGAGCTGCTAAAGGCTTGTCGGTTTCGTCGCTAAATCAAATTTCTGAGCGCAGCATCGCCGTGAGTTGAATAATCAAAATCTGTTGGCTTTCTGCAAGCTGAAACAAATCTTCGGTACCATTTTCATTTACGCCCCTTGTGGATTTTTATTAAGTGCAGTCCTCATTAGTTAATTCTTTCGCTCGTTGCCCAAGCACTAATCTGTTTAGACGACGTAAGAATTTTTCTGCAGAGATGAAATCCACTAAAACTGCTGTGTTTTATATATGCAAATGTAGCTAGAACTTCACTAAATAAAGGCAGACTTGGAGTGAATACTTTGCGGTACTCAGTACGCGTGCCTAATAATTCCCGGTTTATATTCGACGTAAATTTGTGCAGAAATAAGGAGAAATAAAGATGGACCCCGAACGCGAACACCCCAAGAAGACTAAACAAAATTTGAAAACTTTAGAGCGAACTGAAGGAAGACAATGTTGCGCACTGCTAAGCTCTAGAAGGATGCGAATAGTAAACCCTGAAAATGCTCAGCTATGCATTTCTAACGCCCCAAAAAGATTGTTTAGCTGCCATAACTATTGAGCTATGAAGGACCAACAAATCAAGAAACCCGGCAGCCAACCGAATATTGTTTGATGTTTCCAGCCAGCTTTGAAACGTTCTCATTTTATTTGCAGGCTTCTTTAATTAGACGGTTCGTTCCAGAGTGAGCTCGGCAATTTCCAAGTTTGCGCCTTAACCGGTTCAAACCCTATCCAGCTGTCCTCATTTCTCAAAACAAACGAAAACCTGTCAGCGTTCCGAGTTCATAAACTGGTGCAGCCGAACTAATCTCGGGAGGTGATTTGTCTGTCACCCAAATGAAAAACGACATCTTGGAGGCAGGCAGCAGTAACAGCCGCAGAAACTTTGCAGCCAAATCCTGGTTGGAATGGCACAAACAAAGTGTGTTTGTTGCCTGCAGGAATGCAGCCACTGTTCAATCGGGAAATCAGGAAAAAAGTAATCCGAGCCGAATCGAATCTGGCAAATGCAATACGGTTAGTCAAACTCCTGCGGAACGAACAAAACTCCCCATTCGAGCCAATTTTCCTATTCGGATTCGAAAAGCTGAATCGCGCTGTTATTTCCAAATCGAGCAACGTCTCGGTAAACAAACTTACGATTTCCTTTCAATCGTTTCAAGCGGAAATTGCCACAAAAGATGCGATTTTTTCAGTCGCAGATCTCTAATTGATACGCTTTGTTATCTGTTTTCCTATCAGTCACATTTTCTGTTCCACAATTGCGAGATAAATCCTGAAATATCACATGGAATTCGTGCAGACTGAGCAAAAAATTATTAATATAAGGACTGCAAGCATGACAAGGTCCTGCTGCAGTGCAATTAAACCTCCGTAAATGCCCTAAGAGGATTTAAAAATGCATATATTAAAACCTCGAGTAGAACTAAGGCAAACGTGAAAATGTTTTCGTCGATAAAACAGGCAGTTCGGTTGAAAAACGCGTTATGGAAAAGTCGTGAAAAGTGATTAAAAACGCCGTGAGCGCTTTTTGAGAGGCTCCCGAATGAAACATATTTAAATGCTTTAATTAAAAAGCAAACATGCCGACAACGGGGCAGCGAAAACCTGCCGGCTCCGCCAGACTTTTGCGAGAAATTTCCATTTTTCAAATGCAACCAGCTTGAATACGTTCGAAGGCTTTCATTATGCAGACGACCACATGCCAAAAGGTCAAACATTAATTTATTGTTTCGGACTGAAATTGAACTTTCATGAATACATTTTTCCTTGATCGTTCGAAAGCGTTTGATAACACGGTAATAGAGACAGAAGAAGCCAAATGGCCCAATGTTTTCATGTAAATTTTCCGCCATAAATCTCCAGATTATTGAAGGTTATAATATGAAATTTGGAGAACCATAAATCGCAAAGTTCAATGCCTACACGGAATATTTTCAATAAGATTTATACTTCCATTTTAAATAGGATTTTTCGACAGCATTTCCTAGATTATACCAGTCGGTGGGTATTTGAGGGAATCGAGTCACGATTTATTGCAAATTAAGGGCTGGCGTCCCAGATGGTACATCCGAAGCAAATTCCGAAGATGATGGCTAAAAAAGTGCAAAACTGTCTTAGGTTTCGTTTCGGTAGCATTGCTAGAATGCGAGTGAATTAACCAGGTCAACCTGGTTGAAGTTGTACTGTTTACTGCTGGAGAGGTTTAACTCGTTCGGGGCATGGAAAATAATTCTGCGCTCGAATTTGTTTGAAATTTCCAGCATTGTTAATGTTAAGTGTCTTCCTTAAATGGGCCAAATGCAAAGAATCTGTCCTGACTGGTTTAGACGCAAACGAAATGTGAATGTTCGGCTCAAAAGCAAGTCAATC